GAACGCAAAGCTTGGGAGAGGCGCTTGCACGTGCTGCCGAAGATCGCATGGACCTCGCCGCCTGTGGCTTCGCCTGCGTCGCCATCGAGCTCATCGGAGCTCCTCGCCGACGCTCCTCATCGCAAATGAGGTTTGATCTACACCCCAATTCTAACATCAGTATGTCACATGATGAACCAACCAGTCAACTAGAAATTTCAGACTCAGATCGAATTAACATGCAAAATCTTGAAGGGAAAACCAGTGTTTGGAAAAGATAACAAATCAATATCACGAACACGATACTTGCACCACACAAATGCACATTTAACTGGTAAGAAAAGTATTCTAAATTAGCAAGCATAATTGGGTGATTGAATGTCATGGTTAGCAACTTAGCACCAAACAAATTTTTTGTGGAAACTTAGCACCCAACAACTGAAAGTTAAATCCCTACTCTCTAGCAAAATCCGTAATTAGATGATAATTAACAAATCAACGTCACAATATATACTCGCACCAATCAACTGGGATTTAAACAATTCAACTAATAAGAAAACTACTTAAAAAAAAGAAAAGAAAAAGAAATTAGGGTTTCGAAATTGGAGCTTACCTCATTGGTGGATGAATGGATGAGGAGTTGGGACTTGGGAGAACTGAGAAGCAAGTAAGTAGCATGGACGACCGACGAGTTTCTTGGAGCCTTAGAAAATTAAGAAGATGAGGGACTGAAGGTTTTTTATTTTTGGAAAAACAAAGAAAACAGTAGGGATGGGAGGGTCGGTTGCAAGCGGGAAATTGGGAATTCCCTGCTCTTTGCAAATTGATTAGCATGGGCGTGTCGTTTAGATTTTGGGTATGGGTATAAATTGACCCATTTGCCTCTAACAAGCCCACAAAGCCACATGCCCATAACTTAATTCTCTAGCTCACAAAGTCATAGGTTGGTTCTTTTCTTCATAAAAGCTCATATAAATCGGCCCAAGGCTTAATGTTATGCGTATACTAGTATAAGATCTTTTGCGAACCCATATTCATGCAACTTAGATAAATAGAGAGTGCTGGCCGAACTACGTTAAATCTCTGAGTTTGCCTTGTTGCTTAGTTTGCCTTGTTGCTTTGATTGTTGGGAATTCCTTGCTCTTTGCTTCTCGTATCGCTCCGGCTACCATATGATCGCTTGGCAACAACAATGCTTTATGGAAGAGAAACACTTGAGATGGAGGTCAAATCAACTTTTCTGAACAGTCAAAGTGAAGAGGCCAAATCCATAGGAGGAATCTTTATGCGTGTTCATTGCTAAGGAAAGAGGGTTGTTGTGCAGACGAGGACTAGCGGAGGTGTCAATGAAAGAATTGTTGAGATCGTAGCTAGCGAGAGATCAATATATAACTCTTATACGTCTGCGTGCTTATTATTTGGAGGGAGTTTCTTGATATTAGTGGAAGCCTGGATCTATATACTAGCGCGTGTCCCACAACGATAGAGTGGTTTGTTAGCTCCAAGTGCAGCTATATACGGCCCCTGGCGAGGATCTGTAATGCAAACACCATGTGGGAAGTAGAAGATACCTGCAGGGATTACAAAACACCATGTGGCCAGTTTAATTATTTCATGTCATGTTCGCGATTATAAAAGAATGGTCTCGAGCCTGAAATGTATTGAGTAAACACAGTTCTCTGTTAATTATTTACTGTGAATATTCATAACATAATAGATGCCCTTCTATTTGCATCCATATTAATTAAGTGTAGGAATATCCAAATATTGGATGTTTGGAAGGCTACAATTTTGCCATTTTCAGGTGACTCCGATGCTTGATATCTTTGATCGTGTGTCCATGCACCCCTGACCCGGGGGTAATGGTTGATGTTAGACCATGTAGTTTGTAATTTTAGTTGTAGCTTATATTTCACTAATATAATTGTTTTCCTTTTTTCTTGATAGAAGCATGTGTAATTAAGTGAAGTTTTTCCAGTCAATGTATGCTTAGGCCTTTAGACACTTCTATGATCTAGTCTATGTTGAGATTACCCTAGAGGGGGGTGAGTAGGGTAATCAAACAAAAAATATGCAATTTATGAAATTCAATGCAATACCAAAACACAAATAATAAATATGGCAATAAATAAGAGAGAGAGAGAATAAGAGAATAGTTAGCCAAATTGTACGCTGATGTGTTCAAGAGGTTCGGTCCTCATGACCTACGTCCCCGACCACCTCTCCCGATGGTAATCCACTAAACACACCCGGTTTGGAAATCATAACTTCTTCACAACGATCTCCCCCGAGATCTCACAACCACACAATTTAATCTCTTCGAGATCAAGCTCTCACATAGTAGAATAAATGGAAAAATCTCTCCACAAACACCCCTATAGCAAGGATTAAGAGATTGCAAATGAAACTTGGGGTTGTGGGTATTGAAAGTGTAAATCCGAAATTGAGAAGAATGAGAGTTTAAGCTCAAAACACACAATAAACACAAGCTCAAAGAAATTTTCTTGCTTGCTTGGTTACTGAAGTGAAGAGGGCAAAAGGGTATATATAGGAACCCCAAACAATAGGTCAAATCCCAAACAAAATCCAAAATCCTGAAATTTCAGCTGAAACAGAAACTAGCCGTTACAGTGCCATCAGTCGACTGATGTTACTGTTCAGTCGACTGATGAGCTGACCGTTGGTGGCCGTTCAGACTTCATCGACCGACTGATGAACTCATCACTCGACTAATGCACTGCTTCGATCGACTGATGGTTCATTAGTTAACTAAGCAGAAACTTTTAGTGTTCCCAGGCAGTTTCTTTAGTCGACTGATAACACTGTTCAGTCGACTATAACATGAACATGACCTGTTTTGAAATAAAAATTTAATTTTTAAAGTGCCTTTAAAAATAGCAAATAAATTCTAAAAAATATAAAACTTTGGGAAATGTTTATAAACATGAATATAAACATGCTAGAAAAGGAATATTTGAAATATCATTTTCCAAAAGGAAAAACTTATTATCTTTCAAAAATTGGTCAAAAACATGATTTTAGAAGTATGTGTGTGTGAACCCCAATTGCTTCAGGTGTTATCTACTTTGTTTCTTGCCTACATTATGATCTAGAGAGAAAATAAAGGATACAAACATTGCTCACACATGTATAAAACTCTTGAGGCTAGATATTAATTTGTTGATGAAGCTCATCTTGTATATGTTGCTTTTAAAGGCTTTTCTTCATCAACTTGCCTCCACCTCCTTGGATATCATCGTTACGACGCAAGTTCCATCCATCCTCCAATAGTGGCACTAAATTGCTTGACAAAATACATCCTGTACAATATCACTTAACAACTTAACAAACAATTAGCACCAATAATGGTGTTTGAAAATCATCATCAAAACAAGAGACCTAACATATGTTTCATGGGCAATTCTATCTGAAGCTGTATTGTGTCGCACCCGTGTCATACGTGTAACTAACACCAAGTTCAATGGACACTCCTCAGAGATGTTAGTATACTTATTTAAACCTATACTCAATTATATAATACATGTTTTGATTTAAAATGCACGTCATGTACTTCTTGAACGTATATCCTATGCTTCACATGCACTTCTTGAAACTCCTTGGACATAGGTTAAGTTCGATTTAGCCTGAACCCAGTTCAAAACTTCGTCTTTTGGATATTAGGTTAAAGCAAACAATTATCTAATTTAGAGATCTATATGATAAAATAAATATAAATTGTTTCATAACATGTGATATGAATATTGATCTCATTATATGTATGTGTGTGTCTGTATGAGCAGCCGCGTGCTCTTACCATACCTTTTATAGATTTACCATGTCCTGTACCCTACCCGCTCCGGTACCTGCAGAGGTGAACATATCAGTAAAACTTAAGATCCAATCAAGGTGTTGAAAATACTTACATTCTCTGAATTTAGTGTTTAGCATGTATTACTTAATGTAGTTCTACTGAATGGGGAAAAAACACTACAAAAAAATTTGTAACTTGTGGTGATACTTTTTCTTAAGTCACATTGCATCACATTTTGTGTCGCAAAAATGGAGCGTGACACAAATTGAAAGCGTGGGTAGAGCATGTGTGGAGAGAGTCTTTCTGCAGATGTGGGAATGTGTCACAAAACTCATACCATATACATGTGTGGAGAGTTGTGACACATTTATGTTGTGATCCAATTTTCTTGTTTTGCTTGTCAATTCATGTGCTTAATAGGAATAGATTTCCTACTCCCCCCACCCCACCCCCCACCAACCGAACGCTACTTGACTGAATCCCCACTAATATCCCACCAGCTTCAAAGGCACGTATGCCTCTTTATATTCCTGCCCATATCTGCGGCAATGTCAATTCAGCAAAACTATTTTAACCGGGTCAGTTCTTCTTAACTGAGTGATGTGGAACTAAAGAACAAGTTCATCTCTCTTAAATGCTCCAATGAAAGATGAAGCATTTTTTTCATTTTCATTTTATGTTGTATCTAATGACCCAGGTACGTGTTGTGGCTTGCGACATTTTTTATTTGGGTTGCTATTGTTTAATCCTTTGCAATTAATACAACACTTCTGCATGTCTCGTAAAAGTAAGTGTGGGGTATGAAACATTTGTTGCAGTAAAACTTATATTACTCTTCCTTCTTCCTGTCACTATTTAGTTAGGCTCACTGCTTTTAGTTTTACAGTTACACGGTGAGTCTTTCCTTTTTTTTGATGATATGCAACTTTGGACTCCTTTGTGATCAGAAAAATAATGTTAATGTATAAACCATTGAAACTATTTGATATGATAGTGTGCCTAAGCTGGCTTTTCAATGTCTTTTTCCCCCACTCATTTGGGCAACTCTGAATTATTCTGTAAGCCTCTTATGTTAAAAAAGTAATGTGTGATGCATATTACATTTTAGTTCTTTAACCTTTCATCTTTGCTCGACATGCTTGTATTCTATCTCTGTTGGTATTGGTGCTGATACCTTGTACTAATAATATGCCATACATCACACAAGCAGTGAAAGTAGTCAATGGGCTCAATGTGGAGATTGTTCCAAGTGGCGTAAGCTTCCGGTTGAAGCCCTTCTGCCTTCTAGGTGGACATGCTCCGATAACAAATGGGATCCTGACAGGTAATTATACCGACACTTAGTTGAACATGACCAATTTTACTTGTTATTATTCTTCCCCTGGGATTTAGTCCCATTAAACTACTGGTACTTTGTCAGCCATAGACTTTAATGAAGTTGATATAGTTTAATACTTGGGTCTTCCAGCCTGCCATCCATCTTTCAGTTTAGTAGCTATCTCTGATAATGTAAAGAAGTGCAAGCTAAACACTTGATGATAAGCATCCTTTGAGGGTCACTTTATTAACAATTTACATTTGTACTTAGTTTGCTGCACTTTTTCGTTGCTGCACTTTTTCGTTTTTGGTTTACTCATGGTTAGCGTATTTACGTATTTCTGTTCCATCATACCTTGTTTTCAGGAGAATACAAAGTGATTAATTACTAGAGGGGGAGATTTGTATTAATTGAATTAAAAGCATTGTTCTATTACTGAAGTCTCTTAGGCTTATATAGAGTCCTATAAAGACACACTTACAATTAACCCCCTACACATACTAATATCTCAACACTCCTCAAGATGGGCGAAAGATACCCACTAAACCCATCTTGTCACATCCTCTAACCATATCTACAGAGCTAAGTCTTTTAGTCAGACAGTCTGCTGTCTGATCCTTAGTTGGAACATGGCCTAATTCCACCAGTCCACTGTCCAACTCTCTTTGATGAAGAACCTATCGATCTCGATGTGTTTGGTTCTATCATGCTGCACTGGGTTGTTGGCGATACTGATGGCTGACTTGTTATCACACCATAACTTCATCTTGGCTCCTTGATCTAGCTTTAGCTCCACCAGCATACTCTTCAGTCATAACAACTCTGCAACTCCCAAGGTCATAGCTCTATACTTTGCCTCAGCTGTCGATCTCGCCACCACCGACTACTTCTTACTCTTCCATGAGACCAAGTTGCCTCCTATAAAGATACAATATCCTGAGGTGGACCTCCTGTTATCAGCACAGCTAGCCTAATCAGAGCCACAATAACCCTCAATGCTCACGTGATCATTCTTCTTGAATATCAGCTATTTTTCGGGGGCACTCTTCAAATATCTCAAAATCTGATACACTGCGTTCATATAACCCTTCCTCGGATTATGCATGTAGCGGCTCATCATGCTTACTACAAAAAAGATATCGGGGCACGTGTGACTCAAATAGATCAACCTGCTCACCAACCTATGGTATCTGTCACGATCAATCAGTTCTCCACCCTCAGCACCCAGTTTAAACCTCTGATCGATCGGTGTAGTTGTAGGTTTGCACCCTAACATCCCTATCTCTTTGAGAAGATCCAATGCATACTTCCTATGGGAGAGGACAATCCCCTCCGCTCCTCGAGCTATCTCTATCCCAAGAAAGTATCGAAGTAAGCAAAGATCTTTCACCCCGAACTCCTTACCCAGTCTCACTTTGAGTTCAGCAATCTCCTTCTCATCATCCCCTGTAATAATCATATCATCTACATATACAGCAAGCATGGTAATGTGGCCTCCACTCCGTCGAAAGAACACAGTATGATCGGCGTTGGTTTGCTTGTACCCCATGCCTATCATAACCCTCCTGAATCTGTCAAACCAAGCACGATGAGACTGCTTTAGCCCATAGAGACTTCTCCAATCTGCAGACATTGTCCACTGTTTGATCTGTACCGAATCCTGATGGTATCTCCATGTATACCTCCTCCACTAAATCTTCATGAAGAACTGCATTCTTCACATCTAGTTGGTGTAGCTTCCATCCACCATTTACTGCCAGAGAGATCAAGGTCCGAACCTTGCTCATCTTCGTCACCGGTACAAAAATCGCATCATAGTCGATGCTATATGTCTGACTATACCCTTTTACCACCAGACGAGCCTTGTAGCGCTCAACCTGTCCATCTGGATTCTGCTTCATAGTGAAGACCTACTTGCATCCAACTGCTCTCTTCCCTGTTGGTAGTTTTACTAACTCCTAAGTGCAGTTCTTTTCAAGAGCTCCTATCTCTTCGTGCATAACCTTTTTCCACTTTGGGTCCTTAGCAACCTACCAATTATTAAGTACAATAACAGAGTCTAACGATGCAATAAATGCTCCATGTACAGTAGAGATATTAGAATATGATACAAACTGGGCAAGATCCCAACCATATCTATCGGGAGGATTTCTCGTATTGCTGCGAGTAGTCCTCCGTACTAACATTGGTGTGAAGGGAGTAAGGATAGGAGTGATATCACTTTGGGAGGAATCTGGTGGTGTAGGTGTCTTAGGAGTCGGGGCAAGCATTAGCAAGAGACTTGACACCAGTGACACTGTAGGTACTGTCCCCATACTTTGCTTTCCCTTCCTACTATATGTAAGTAGCTCCCCCTGAGCCGTGAGCTTCACACCTCTCGTCTCCTACTTTTCTTCTTCACTCTTCTGCTCCTCAGCCAATTCTCCATGTTAAGGAATCGATACAGAAATTGATTCCACATTATTCCGTGAAGTCTCACCAATCTCCCTCTCTCGCCTCATACTCCCAGTATCGGGCGAGTCGCTAAAGGGTGAAGTTACCTCCATGGTGTAATATGGTTTGAACTCTCGAAAGTGCACATCCATGCTCACAAATAACCTCTTCTCTACTGGACTCTAGCAAACATACCCCTTCCGTGTCGCAGAATAGCCTACAAAGATACACTTCACTGCTCTAGAGTCAAGCTTCCCAACAGATGGTCTGTTGTCCTTCACAAAGCACACATAGCCAAACACCTTCAGTGAAAGAATCCCACCATTATCTCCCTTTAATATCTCACACGGAGACTTCCACTCCAGCACTTTTGAGGGCATCCTGTTGATCAACTGAGCCGCGGTCAACACTGCTTGCCCCCACAGAGTCTTTGAGACATTCATGACGATCATCATGCTTCTGGTCATCTCTAGAAGGTGTCTGTTCTTTCTTTCTGCTACCACATTCTGTGCTGGTGTGTATACACATGTGGTCTGATGTTGTATTCCCTAAGCTGACAAGTATTCCCCAAGTGCTCTGTTGGTATATTCTGCCCAATTATCAGACCTCAATACCTTCACCACTGCTCCATATTGAGTTTGAACATCCCTATAAAAGTTTTGGAAGCAACCGAACACTTCACTCTTATTTTTCATCAAGTATAACCCAGTAACGCGAGAGAAGCAATCAATGAAGGTAACAAAATACTTGTATCCATTCATAGAACTTGTGGAACAAGACCCCCAAACATCAGAATGTATCACGTCAAATGCACGAGAACTCCTATGACCAGAACTAACATAAGAGCTTCTAGTAAGCTTTCCAAACTCACATGTATCGCACACAAGTTTCTGTTTATTTGCTTTCTCAAATAAAGATGGATACAACCTACTTAAAACATTAAAGGATGAGTGTCCCAAGCGCTGGTGATGAAGCATCAACACACTCTCAGCACTCATCTCAGGTCCTACTCCTGCTCTCTCTATCATAGACACCAACGCTAAGTCCAGCCCTTCACGATCCAGGTACCATAGTCCACTAATTCACGTGTCAGTCCCAAGTCTCCATTCTGTCCCCTTCTCTTGGAAGATCACATTGGGAATGTCAAAAAAAAAAAAACAATACATTTTAGTTGGAGTATGATGACACTAATGGACAAAAGATTTACTGGAAAGAAAGGAGCATACAAAATATTGGACAAAGTTACAGAACCTGTATAATTAACTGTACCCTTACCAACCACAGGTTGAAATGTACCATCAGCAGTCTGGATGTTGTCAGCCGATGCTAGTTTAGTATATGATAAGAACTCACTAGCATTCCCTGTTACATGTCGAGATGCACCGGAATCGACTATCCATTCTGATGACCTAGTGGGAGATATAAAAGCAAGAGCATATGTGTCATCAGTACATTTGGTCGGATGAGCGTAAGTAGCAGTGTTGCCTCTGGGAAAGAACGAAGTGGATGCCTCCTTAGTTCCACTCTTCTTGTATCCATCACCTGCTGCTCTCTGCTTCCTCCTAAGTATCTCCAGGAGCGTTTGATCCTCCTCAGTGAAGACCACATCAACTTCTTCCTCTCCCTCTGCTACCATCAGATTTGCTCGGTTATCTCCTCTTCCACCTCATCGACCGCCACGATCACGACCACGACCATGACCTCCAAACTATTCACGTCCACCCGAATTTCCCTCCTTGGGTGGCTTAGGACAAGCGTGTCTCAGATGACCTACATCATCACAGTTATAGCACTGTCGAGTCCCCCTCTTGAATGCAGTGTTACCTGAGTTGGAGATTGCCAATGCTGACCTCATCCCTGGAAGTTCACCTGTCCTAGCCTGTAGCTTAATGTGACTCTCTTGTATCATAGCTGAGACTGCCTCTTCAAGTGTGGGAATCTTCGATTGAGCTAGCAGCATCGCGGTCCTCTGATCAAATACTGAGGCCAGCCCCTGGAGAAACACTATAGTCCTTTCCTGCAGAAAGGCCTCTCTCTTCTTACACTCCGGATTCTTACAGCTTGCTCGAGGTGAGAAGTGATCATGATCCAGCCACAAACGCTTCAGCTCTGTGGCATACTCTTGTACTGTCATATCTCACTGGACTGTAGCATTAATCTCCCTCTTAATCTGGAACACCCTTAGGTTATTCCCCATCCCATCATAGGTTCTTCTCAGCTTCTCTCAGACGTCCTTCACCTTCCCAATGCCGTCCACTGTGGCGGCAATCGACTGGACCAACGAGTTGAGAAGCCAGATGTACACAAACATATGAGTGGACTTCCACTCATCTCTTCCCGCAGTACCCTCATCCGGCTCTGCCTTTTCACCTATTAAGTACCCCTCCAGATTCCTTCCTGCGAGAGTGTACCTCACCCGACGTGACCAGCTCAGATATATAGCTAGCCCATCGAATTTCAGATCAATAGGCGGGAGCTCTAACTTTGCTCGTGGCCTTGTCGCGCTCTCACCAGCCGACAACTTCATCAGCTGCATCAAAGTTGAGACATCTGCGGGGTTCAACTTCTTGATGATCTCCTCCATCGATCAAGCTCTAGATCAAACACCTGTTCTCCTTCTTCTCTTCGAACCCTTGTACGCAATAAAAATTTTGGCAACACTTCTGCTGCACAACAAGAGTAAGATCTCAACTAAATTCCTGTTTCTCAAAGAAAACAAGAATTGAAAGTGATATATCTCAACAACGTGGGATATACACTTCCTCTCATCAGTTCTAGGACTAACTTGTCGAGGGAATCTACCAAGCTACACACCCAGATCTGGATTTTCCACATCATGGCCAGATCCCCCTCCTTGCATGGTGGCAACGACTCAGCGGCATGATGGCGGCTC